CTCCCTCCCCGCTCCCAACTACCAAACTGTCATCTAAATCTGACACCCGCTTTATGTAACCCCGTTTAAACTGTGCCTGTGTGTGTGTGTGTGTGTGCATGTGTATGTGCATATTGTGTGTGTGTGTGTGTGTGTGCATGAGCACATTGTGTGTGTGTGTGTGTGTGTGTAGCCGACTGGCATCTCCGGAAACATAAAAGGACTCCCTCTGACACCGACAATCACTGCTCCAAGGCACGCCACCGAGCAGCCATCTTTGTTCTGATGACGAGTCTGCCTTCTTTGTTGGTGCCTGTTTTCATGTGCTGGCTGGGTTACAGTATGGAGCCAGCCTCTGACTTGCAGGGATATGTGTGTGTGTGTGTGTGTGTGTGTGGGGGGAGCTGAACCAAGACACTGTTCTGTTTTGTAGCAGCCAATGTTCTGGCAAGCGTTCTTACAAAACCGTCTGCCAACCTCTGCTCTCGCTTTAAAGTTTGAAATCTACCTGTTTTCTCTCTGTCTGCATCTCTCGCTCACTCAGTTTGTCTTTACAACCGTGTATCCTTTTGCACTGGCTTACCAGCTTACCGGATTCACAGGCACATCGCTTTATACAGTGCGTCTCGGCCCCTCGCCTAAATAACCATGCTAAGCTACCTAGACACAGTATCCTCAGCACACACAGACTTAGGTTCTGTTTGTGCGTGAACAGAGCGCACGGTGCAGAGGGACAGCCGGATGTCTTCTTTAAGTAAGTGTACTGAGGTGATAGGACAAGAAATCAGAAAACCTGCTAATCTTATACAGGCTTGCCTCCTCACACACTCACGTTTGTTCCCAAGCTGCAAGGCAAAGTCTTCTACCTGGACTTGTGGACGTGTGGTCCAGGTTGGACGATGCCGTGCACACAGCAAACTGGCTTTTCATAAGCATGGCTTCTAAAATTATACTAGCTGGATGTGCTGCGTTCGCTGAAGAAAACGGATTTTGGCATTGACATGTGACACACTTTCCAAAGGGGATAAGCAAACACACTTGTCAGGCAATAGTTGGGATATACATTGTATATATATTCACCTCTGATTCATTTAAATCCATCACTGTTATTGTTCCTTTGAGTGTGCTGTATGTGTTGATAGAGTGTGAAAATGCAGCTTAACGTCATGTCTGGCTGCGTCTTTCAAATACTGGTAAACACTCGTTTTTTATTAGAGTCACATCATTTCACAGATACACCTTTTAGCTATAATTCAGAAGCTGCTGTAGAATTAGTGAAAGCCTGACCTAAATCCTGCAGCGGCTCCCCCATGGGTGGACTAGTTTTATTGTATCAGTACATTTTTTTTTAGCTTTCTGCAACTTATTACAGTCACTACACTGTAGAGAAATGCATAATTTGGAAAATACGCCCGAACAATGTCCTGATTTCAATAGTTTATGCGAATTCACATGGACATTTACAGCCCGTGAAAAACACTCGCCAGATCGTTATTTCACAGTTAATTACAAATCTAATTAGAATATTCAAATTAAAGCTTTCCCTTTCTTTTCTTCTCTGTGTGGGAGCAGGGAGCCAGGGAAAGAGTGATAGTGTGTATGAGTGAGAGAGAGGGAGAGAGAGAGAGAGAGAGAGGGAGAGAGGTTCTTGGTGAGTGGCAATGTGATAACCTGTAATCGGCAGTGCTGCAAACACCTTCTCCCTTTGATGTCCCCCCACTAACATCCTGGCAACAAAGCCGGCCAATTACAAATGAGCTAATTAACTAAATTGTTGATGGAGCATGAAGAGTTAATTCGCTCTGGCGCCTGCACCATGACAACAGTGAATGGGGGCTTTTGTTGTGGAGGTAAGTGTGCGGCCGTGCGAGTTGCCATTAGCTTTTGACGCTTTTTCACAAACCTATCAGGGCCTTCCACGCCAGGAAGGAGATTTGTTATGGATCAGAGTTGGTGTGCATCCTGCACTGCTAGAGCTGAACCCTGTCAACCGGCTGTCTGGAAGGTCAAAATGCGCTCTTTGAAAGGCGGTGATGCTTTCTTTGTCAGGCCACTCTGTAGCCACATAAAGGAGATGCTGTGGTGTGGTTTGGTGTGTGTGTGTGTGTGTAAAATAGATACTAGCTTCATGTACAGACACCAAAGAAATGTCACTGCAGTACGCTCTTACTTCAAAAACTGTCCGAAGTCCTCGCAGATGTTCTCGCAGCCGGGCCACTTACACACTCCGTGACCATACAGGGGGTGGGTCCCTCCACTTTCTTCATGTAGTGAACTGAAGCAAAAGACAAGAGAGAAAACAAGAAATAAGCCGACAAGAAAGCAAAAAAAAAGGAGAAGAAGAGGGAGGCAGGTCAGGAGAGTGAGAAGGAGAGGGTAGCATCGAGTTCATTACGGAATCTGCAAAGGCTTGAGGAGTTCTGTGCATGTCAGGTGACAGTCAGCAAGAAAGGGGTACAACAGGTCAGGTAGGTTGAATTAGTCAATAACCAAAGATAGAAAGGAAAGCTAGAGTGAAAGAGACACATACAAATATATTGGCCGATTAAAATGGGAAACCTTTGAACACTCGGATGTGAGAAATAATACAGTGTGTTACCGTCGCTAACAGTTCATCTCCAATCAGTCAAAAAGACCATGATAGGCTACTCCATTAACTGAGAGGCAGCGTAGGCTAATGTGTGAACTAACGTCCCCGATGGGAATCTAGAAGGATCTGCAGCTCCGTCTCCACCACAGCCACCATCCCCTCTTGTAAAGCCGTTACGGGGAGGAGGGGTGGACGCTTTCAAGTAAACATTAAAAATCCAGACAGCCATATAATTTTCATCAGGAGATTAATACTCTGTGTAACTTATGTTCTTTGAGGACAGTGGGGGCAGGGGTGCTCTGGCGTTTTTCAAATGGCACCCAAATAAGTTACGACCCTGCCTAGACAGCACATCCTATTAAAGATGACAGTTTAACCTTTAGGCTTGGCACTGGCGTGTGCGTCTGTCTGTGTGAAAATGTGAACGAGAGTGTGTTGCGCTGTGCTGCGCGCAGTTTGTGTGCGTTTGTCTGCTTGTTGGTTGGGCCTGTGCATGTATGTGTGTGGTCGACCACTATGTGCCTGCGTGCGGCCCAAGAATATGTTTCTGTGTGTGTGTGTGTGTGTGTTAGTGCTGGCAGAGCTCATGCTATGTTTTACAGAGGGGCTTTCCCCACATCGATCCATGGCATGTTAGTAAGCAGTGCTCCTGACAATACTCCTTGTTCGATCATTATGAGACACCACACACCCCCCGGGACAGAGGCAGATAAAACATTTTACTTCTTCTTCTCCCTTCTTCCCTCTCTTCTCTTTCCCTCCCTACCTCTGTCTTTCCCTCTGTCGTCCTACTAAAGGTATCTTTTTCAAGCCTCCTTTTAGTGGTGCTGGAGAGATAGCATCTACTTTAAACCAATTACGCAGCACTTCCACCTCCAGTTTGAGTCTCTACCCAGCATCCACACACAGGAACACACGCACACTGCTACCCTAAGTCCTTATTATAATATCGCCCAAGAAAAGCCTTTGAATAATGCATGGGCCAGATAGGCAGATATGTGAACAGTCAGTGTTTTGGTGCTGGGTGCATTTATAAAAGACGCCATCACAAGGATAAACATCCTGGAAACGCCACTCAAGGCATCACGTATTCTGTTTACATGACAAGCAAGCAAAGAAGGTAATTTTCAAAAGAGAGAAGAAAAAAAAAGAGAGAAAGCACTAAATACTTAATGTACAAGGAGGTTACCTTGTCTTGCCTGCCAGAGAGGCTTGTTGTAAGTGCGCCTGCCTGCATGGCTTCCTCTCCCTGCGTTTGATATGTGTGTGCAAGCTAAGTGCATTCAATGGCACACGTGCTCCCCTGGGAGAACAAGGCTGTTACCTTTTTAATATTACCAAGACACTAATAAACTATTGAACAAACAAACAGAACATCTTGTTTTCCCCCGTTGCAACAATGCTGTTATTTTAAACGAAGACAAATACTCCGGATGGGAGTGCGGCGTTCTGATGTGTTCCTACATGGAATCATGGCACAGAAAACAAAAACAAGCTTGTGTGACGGGTAGCAAACAAGCCGCTGCAAACTTTTCATCTTCTCTGCTTTCTTTCCTTGGTGCTGCATCAAAAAGGTGTGGGGGTGTGTGTGTGTGTGTGTGGGGGGGGGGGGGGCATTTCAATTGCTTTACCTCTCTCGCTCCCTTTCCCGTTCCCGTTCCCTCTCTCTTCTGTGGTTGAGGGCGGGGGACTGTCCGTTGGCAATGGAATGGTGAGAGATGGGCGGCGATGCTTTGGCGGGATTGGAGGAGGAGGTAGTTGAGGAGGAGTTGTTGGTGGAGAGGTCTAAACCGCCGCCGCCACCCCCGCCGCTGCCAGTGCCACTGTTGCTGTGTTTGATGCCGTTGTCCTCCATGGCGTGACCGCCGCCTCCGGTCACATCCTTCCACAACTGCTGGAGCTCTGCTGGGCTCAGGCCAGCTAGAAGAATTGAGAGGGGACAGGAGACAAGACAGGGAAGGACAGAGAGGAGGGCAGGAGGAGAGGAGAGCAGGAGGAGAGGAGAGTAAAACGGGGTTGAGGAGGGAGTAGATGAGAAAAAGAGACAATTAAATACAGTTTTGTATCAATATGGCTGCTCAACTAAAGAGACAAAAGCTAAAGCCTAAACTCTGCAAACTTTATCCAACAGCCATAAAAGTTGTATAAAGCTGCATGACTCACGGCCTTGCCCTCAGTGAGACTATCATCCGATGCTGCTTCACTGCCGACCTGAATTTGAACTGACACTGCACTGCTCAATGAACCCGAGAGTGTTCTTCTTCTCTGCCCCTGTAAGTCATGATTTAAACTTGTTGAAAGATCACTCATGTAGTCATCAGTGTCAAAGATGTGTTGTGTTTTCAACAAGGAGGAACTACAAAACCGTGATTGCAATGAGTGTGTGCACGTTTTTACCTGAGATAAACCAGCTTTGCCCACTGCTTGTTTTCAGCCTGGGAACTAATCAGGCAATATTCACTTACTTTGATTTCCTTCTAACCCCCCCCCCCGTCTGTTGTTTTTGCTCAGCGCCATTTTGGCGGTAAACAACAAACATAGGTGTTTACTTGGCTCAGCAGAAGAAAATGGAGCCTGCTCTCCCCTCTCTCTCTCTCTCTCTGTCGGTCCTTTTATTCTTTCTCCTCTCCCTGGCTCTCAGTGAAGGCAGTAAACAACAACAACAACAACAACAACCCGGGGAAAGGAAGGAGGGGGCTGGGGAGCGGGGGAATAGAAACAGAGATGGAAAAAACAACAAACACAAACAGGCTGAGCAGAGCTGAGAGAGAAACAGAAGTAGACAAAGAAAGCCACAATCAGACAAGAAGAGAGAGAGAGAGAGAGATAGGAAGAATGGAAGACTAAATAAAACGATCATGTGGAGAGTTAGGGACAAAGTGGACGGTAGAAGAGCATACCAATGAGGGGCAAGCAGACATACAGACATAGAGATAACGCAGGGGGGACTCAGGTGCATACCAATGAGAAAAACAAAAACAGGAATGATGGAAAGACAGAAGAGGAACGGGACAGACAGGGAGATGTGAGATGGAAATCTGGACAATGACGTGAAAGAAGCAGAAACTTACACCTGCAGGCTAAACACAGGAAGCATGTGACCACTGTTGCAAGTCACATGCTCCAGACTACAACACGACTACTTTCCCTCCTCCCCACTGCCTCTTCTCTCTCACGGCCCCTCCCTCCCTTCCGGTCCTCCTCTTCCTCTTACCTGGCTGGGGCAGGGTTTGTCCGGGAAGGGCGGCTTGGCCGGGAGCGGGCCCGGGCAGCGACAGCAGGCCCTGCCGCTGCATGTTGAGCAGGTGCTGCTGCTGCTGGAGCTGCTGCATCTGCAGGAGCTGCTGCTGGAAGACGAGCTGCTGGGCGGCCAGCTGCTGCTGCTGCTGCTGTTGCTATAGAGAGGAGGAGGAGGAGGAGGAAGAGGAGGAGGAGGAAGAGGAGGAGAGGAGCAAGAGAGGAGCGAAGAGAAGAAGAGGAGGGAGGGGAAAATTACAGACAAATTAACAACTGACTAGTTGGAGAGGAGAGAGAAGACAGAGCGGTGTTTGCGCTGTGCGTGGAGAGAGTCTGCGCTCACTCGCCTCTGCCGTGACCTTAGCTATACATCTCTGCCTTTACTTCTGTCTCTCCGCACGCTCTCCCTCTCTGTTTGTGCTCACTTAGTCTTCCCTCCAGTTTTTTGGGCTGTACCACAGTGTTGTTGCCTTCTCCTCTCTTTGTGTGCCCATGTCTGTGAGCGCACACACAGACTGATATACCAGCTCTCAAGCCCATCAGTGTATGTGGCTTGTGATTGTGTATGATACTAAGCCTCTGGTATAATCCCCCATCCCACAACCCCCTCCAACACCCATGATAGTTAATTGTCTCGCCTTCACTGATGGTCTGTTACAGCTTATGTGGCCAGAGGGAGCTGGCAGAATGAGAGATTTACAGCATCACATGCGTGTGAATGCACAGACACAAGTGCAAACACACACGCATGCACGCACATCGCCCAACACCCGTCCCCCCGTCCCCACTCTCTCCCCCGTTCAAGCTCTCCTCGCTGCCTCACAGAGTTGTTTATCGCTGGGCCAGACAGCCAATTGCGTAAGCCCCATGCAAAACAAAAACAACAACAAAACGAAAAACATCAAACTCAGTGACCGCAGCAAAACAAGTCAGAGAGGGAGTGAATTTTTAGGGGGGGAAACAAAAAGCTTTGAATCTGAAAACTCAGGTAGTAATTGGCTATAAGTGCACACTATTAGATCTGATGGAACACGTTCAGTCCTTCCAGCCTGTGATGTCAAAAGAGAGGATGCACAAAGGTCACATTTTGGCTGTGATTTTGATGTTTGTCAGTATTTGCGCTCCTCTCCTCTCCATATACGTGTGTATGTGCATACAGCATGGTATGCTTACGTCTTTCTGAATGTCAGTATCATGGTGGATGTTCAAAAGCATTGGGGGGGAGTAAAACTTGTGATGCGCTCACTGGAAAACAGGCTGCATAATGGAGTGATGGAGGAAGGCAGTTTGTCCACACACACCCCCCCCCCCCCTCCCCCACCCTGCCTCAAGAGAAATAAGGGAGCAATTTCTATTCCATATTTGATGGCGGGGGCCCCTGAAAAACTCTATTCACAAATCCAAACAGAAACAAAGCCGCCGGGAGGTCAGTTGCAGCTTCCTGTAGGGGCAGCATAATGAGGAGACGCGGAGAGGTGCAAAACACAGAAAGAGAGAGAGAAAACCTGAAAGGCCGAGTTTGTGTTGTGTGATACCTTTTTTTCTGATCAATTTAACTGCTTCCACACGTACAGTGTTGCCTGGATGTGACCCTGGACTGCCTCTCAGGGTTCAGCACCGTGTGACACTCAGACGCGACGATGCGAAATGTGGCTCAGGCTGTCTCTTCTTCTCTGATAGCAAAAGAGAACGAGACGGAGCCATGTCTGTCGTGACGACCGGCTGCCTGTCAATGTGATTTATGGGCGCCGTACGCTGTAACTTTGCCGGCGGTGCATGTGTTTCTACGTTTGCAGGAACACTTCATTAACGAGTTCAGACCGAAGACCCTTTGTCTCTGGTCTCCCTTATATATATATTATATAAATCAGCGAGCGAGTGAGTGATTTTGTTCAAATAAAAACCAAGAAATCCGTCATCTAGAGAGAATAATCGAATTTCCCATTTTTTTTAAGGTATCTAATGGTTTTGTACTCATTTTTAATCATCGGTTGTGTAGAAACATCATAGGTGACAATAAGTGTGCATGTGGTGCACCTACCTCTTTAGCCTGCTTGCCAGGGTGCTGCTGCTGGAGAAGCTGCAGATGAAGCTGCTCCTGTTGTTTCTTATAAAACTCCTGCAGGTGTTGCTGTACACACACACACACGAGAGACAGAGAAAGAGTTAAGAGTAAGAGAATGGTTAAATCCACATTTGTCTAAGTACACATCTCTAAACTGCCTCAAATGCAAATGTGTAACCCTAAACAATGCTGCTGTATTCAAAGCCCATGAAGCAGGGTTGCTTTAAGATTTATTTAATTTATTTTCATTTTTCTAAATGATATAACTCAGACTTTATGTCAATTTGCGGATGTACTACTAATTCAAATTGATTTACAGGCAAAGAAAACAACAACCTCAATGTAGATCCCTGATAATTAAGTCGACATTTACTCCTAAGCCTGCACATGTTGGTTATGCATATACTGTTTCGCATTATAAATAACATCTTCTACTGCTTTTGGCATTTGTATCCTTGCTGTCTTTCACAGTCCTCTCCACATGGACTTTTAATAGTCCCACAGTTCTGTAGGGGGCAACAACTCATCATATTAACTACGCATTCGGCTGCCAGAGTGCACTGGCTTCCTTTGGAGTAGCTGAAATGAACAGAATGAACCCTCTCAGGAACAGGTTCGCTACATTGAACCGATACCTTTAACACACATAATATGATGGCTATTTACACAGTGATTTCACTTTTATTTCATATAATCTTCAAGATGGCTCTTTGGCCTGAAAGAGACGTTCATGAAACAGGCCAATGGAATACATGGTCCGGTTCTCTGCTAACTGCCATATAAATATCCATATGATTTTATAGACAATCATAGTGAGCCCTTGGGAGCCTGTTTTGTAACTCTTGCTGTCGTCACTTAATCAACATAAATCAATAATATAACTTCACTCTTATGCTGACTGAGGACAGGTTGTGAGCCTGTGATTGAGGATTATGGATGCTTAACTGCTGTGTTACGACTGACCACGTAAAAAACAGGCAAACTGAACATTTTAAGTGCCCTGGGTTTGCTGTGGAAAAAAGGCAGTGCAAAGGCACGCCGTCGTACTGAAACCACATCTAGAGTCTGGGTGCTTCTTAATGAAGAGGAATAATCAGAATGACTGACACTCTTAATTAAACAATTCTCTTTCCCTTAATCAAATCAACGAATGACAAATGCATTCCAACTCTGACACCAGACTGTGCGCTTTCTCAAGCTGATTCCAAATATTACATCATCTGTCACCCATCACTCAGCGCCTGGTGTTCAACCCAACTGTGCCCTACTCTCTCAGTCCCTGATGGATGCTTGTCAGGGAATTGAACCGGCGACACACGAGAGATAATTAATTAGAGATGACGTGGACAAGTACGTCAAATCCAGATTCCTCTCGGTAAAGCGTGTCAAGGACACAGGGCTGTTATGAGTCGGCATGAGCGACTGGTGGCTGCGATACAGCGGAGCAACGGAGTGACTCAGGGGTGTGGAGGGTTAACGTGTTTATGTGGATGTTTGCACACACGTCGGACAAAAACAACGCCTGATGACGATGTTTTAAGGATTAAATGAAGTAACGTGTAATTGCAGGTCTAGATTTGGATGCATGTAGTCGTTTCTGTGTATGTGTCTCACCAGGTCAGTGGAAGTTAATGTTTGTGTGCCACTTTACAAGGACATGTGTGATGGGGCACAGCTCGCATTCCAGGCGTGCGTGTGTCTGCATGCGTTTGTGCCACAAAATGTTTGTCTACTGGGGTGCATGCATGCAAGCGTGAGCGTGTGTACCTGCTGCAGCATTACAGCCTGCTGCTGTTGGAGCAGAGCCTGGAGCTGCTGGGGGGAGAGCACCTGCTGCTGGAGGATCTGCTGCATCTGTTGCGGCGTGATCACCTGGGGACTCATCATGGCCACTGACACTGGAACCTGGACGGGGGTCGGAGGGCACGAGAGGCAGAAAAGAGAAAGAACGTTAGGCAGAAAGGAGACGTAAAGTGTGTGAAAAACAGAGGGAGAAGGGTAAACAACGAAAACATAGGCGGGAAATAGATGCAGGGACGAGTAAAAAAAAAAAGAAAAAAAAAAAAGAGTACGTTGGAAAAATAGAGCATTAGAGAGGTGCGTCAGGCCTACTGGCGTGGATCTACTGGGAGTGTAGTAATTGGTGACTGAGAGGTAGGGAGAGCAGGCCTCCCATGGCCGTGACGCTTGGCAGCCTAGAGGAGATGCTGAAGGACAGATGGGTGCTGTGCCTTTGTGTTGCTCATATTATTTTTCTCTGCCTCCACCCCGCTGGGAAAAAAGTAGAGGATTTAAATAGACGTAGACCTTAATTAGCATGACCCTTGAACTCCCCTACTTTAGCACGCCTATCAGTGCTGCGATGGTGAAACAGCGGGAGTGCACAACTGTAAAGTTGATTAAAACTACACTGATGAAGTGGACACATCAGCCGCCTGATGAGGTGGGTCGTGGCTTCACCCTTAACATAAATTTATGTCGGAGGGGAGGGAGATGTGCTTAAAAAAAAAAAAAAAAAAAAAAAAAAAAAAAAGACATGGACACTTGTTTTTATATAGAGGGCAGTTTCTTTACTCGATGCCTACTGCAGTGACTTTTTGTCAGTTTTATAGTCTCACAGAAGCACAATTGTGTCTTGCTCTCTGCCGACATGCCATCTTAAAAAATGTATGTCACTTTTAGGGAGATAATCATTAAAATACGAGCCGTCAAACCGCAGTAGAAGAACTTTGCCAAAACAAAATAAAAGATACATATCCTGTGTTTCCGCCGAATTATTCTAAGACGGCAGCGCGAGCGACTTCAGAGGCAGCAGATCAATAGAGAAAGGATGCGTTTCTACCCGCGCTTTGATTGCGTGCAGTGTGCACACATTCTAACAGGGGGAGTGTGGGCTAACAGTCCCATTATGGAGTTTCAGCTCCTCGCAGCTGCTTAAAAATTGAACAACTTTTGTGGGGAATAGAAAATACTGTGTTAAATGTTGTTGCCTTTTCGGTGGTGCTTTGGAAAATAAAATCAAACACAAAGTGAGCAACGGTTCACCAGTTGATTCCCCTTACGTACGCACACTTCGCTGGCCTGATTGAAGTGGCTCAAATCACCTCTTCCTTCCCGATATGACCTTTGAAATGTAATTCAATCAGCTTCTAGCACAACAATGTACTAATGTAGCATTTTTTTAGAGCTGAATGTTGCATCCTGTCCAAGAAAGAGTCGTGAAAGACAAGCTTTATAACACAATTAAAATATCAACACGTCGTAACACCTTCGCTGACGTTAATTGCGACAGTGTTTGGCATTGGAGCTGCCATGACAGTAGCTAGCCTATATGGTGTGTCAAGGGGCCAATAAGACATCCCTGTCCTCATCGCCAGCTAATCAAGCTGCCTTGATTACTTTCCATGCATGTCTCTCCTCCCTCCCTCCCTCTCTCCTTCTCTCGCTCCCTCTCTCTGTCAGGCCTTGACATGTCCTTGTTTAGCTCTCCTCTCCTCACCCCCCCCCCCCCCCCCCAGGTTTTCCCCCCTCTTTGATTAGCCGAGACATTTGCATGGTCACTACACATTTTTCATTTTAGAAGTCATTATGCATTAGTGGCTCCTGATCGCCCGCCTTGACTAATCCTGATGAACTGAAAATCACAGCTGAAGGTCAACTTCCAGCCGGCCCCGCTGCACATTCATATTCATATTCAAACAAATCCTGGCTCCATTGTTCATTAGGGTCTTAGAGAGAAGGGACTCCATCTAAGGTGGGAGGAGGAGGAGGAGGAGGATGTTGTGGTACATCTCTTTTCTTCTCTTCTCTGGACTCCTCTATACAAGAGTACCAGATGAAAATGCATTCACAATACGCGAAGTGCTGAACAAAAGCCATCAAAAAGTTGCAAATTAAACAGTCCGTGTGTAATTATGCAAATGCTCTGCTTACACCTTCAATGTTATTAACCCTTAAAGGTACATCTGCTAGGTAAGTAATTACCCCCGCAGTCACTCCTGGTTTTGTGTTGGATGCCGTGACAATGGGACGAGTGCAGCTGAGAAACAACATGAGTGATGCACTCATTAAGACTATTAATTGGATGCTTGCACAAAGATGTTTTGGTTCACAAAAGGGATGCAGGCTTAGACATGTAGGATTTAACACTAACGTATGCACGCGCATATATATAAAGTGGAATTAAATTAAATTGTATTTCACACTGTTTCCTCATTGTGTAAGTTGTGAAATATAAGCATTCATAGGCAGATACCAGTAAATTAATAATGTAGGATTTCAGCACCGAAGAGCAAAACCAAACAAGACTTCAACAAAGAAAAAACCAACAACCTGGCTATGAAATTGGGAAGTTCCCTTTACACTTTCATTAGCTTTTCAGAGACATTATAGGTGATAATCATCTTCATTTCACCAGCGCTCCAAACAAAAAGAGGGGGAGGAAAAGGGAGAAAAGGCAGGAGGAAGAAAGAGAGGGGAGAAAAGGCACTGGCCCACATCCATTGTGAAGTGCAGCACAATGCTAATTCCAGCGTTTAACTGCATGCTTTTCTGCTTGACGTATCGGAGGCTCCAAGATGAAAGCAGATAAGTAATTGCTCTCCTGGTTCTTATTCTTCACTGACAACCCATAAATTTAATTTTACACACACGTTCATTTACATTTTCGAGTATATGACATGATAATTGCAGAAATATAACACCTCCATTTTGCAGGATACTGCACGAGGGCTTGATTGACGTGAGCGGTGAATTGAAAGGAACAGGCGGCTGAATTGCCTCTCCTAGAAATGATTTTGCCACGGCGGGATAAAATTAATGAGCATTTACTCGACGATTGGCAGCGGCGTAAACATCCACGCGCCGTGAGAAGACTCTCTCATAGAAGAGGAACCATGATACCCAATTGGGCCGTTGCCTCTGCTGCACTGTAATGATATATTTCCAAATCTAGCGCACAAAAAAATATTGATGGGATTTATTAAATCGTTTCAAATTAGCTGCAGCTGATGTGCCCACTGGGGAACTTAATAACAGAGAAGGTGCTTCTCCTGTTTTTTAATGGAGCACAATTGGATGGAAAGGGTAGTTTTCAAATTACAATTGCCAAATTAATTCATTTAAATGTAACCCCTGCTTCGCTAACATGCTTTTTTAAACTGTGTACACCATTCTAACCCCTATTTGTTTGTGTGCCTTGTCTTAAAGAGAACGATGAGCTGTATTGACATAGACTTTGCAGCCATGTGGTTTGCCTTCAAAGTTGGGGAGCACAACAGAGGACCTTTAAATTGGCTCCTGATGTGAAAACACTGGTGGGGCCCTCACCAGAACAAGCCGATCATTACACCACTCTTGTCACACCCGCAGGCTGTAACCAGCCTGTCCGATGTCTCGCAAAAGGTCAAGCTCTTCCACGGAGAGCTCCGGTATCTCTTCCAGGCAAAGCTGGCACCCGAGTCTCTCGTTATGCTTGATCTAACTGGGCATTCTGTCATTGAATAGAAAACGCCTTCACCTCCACTGGCTGGCTAACACAGCTCTCTGCCTCTTGCTATCTGGACTCATGGACAAATACACTTCCAGCAATTACACCCACTCCACTGTGTGGCACTTTATCTTTACAGCAATGAGTTTTTATGAGTCAAATTACCTAAAGCAGGAGATAAGTGGTGTTCCAGAGTTCAAACTTAAACAATTAAAGTCCAGCATGAGAGGAATTCCTGTTATTTGATTTCCTACAATTCACTTAGCAGTAATAAGCGGGGGGGGGGGGACAAGTGATTAGATGTCGGCCATAAACATCGTGGGGGCAACGAATGCGGGGCAGTTATCGACAACAGAGGTTGCTCCTGTACAGCACTGGACTGGGGACTGAGCTGCTTTACAGACACTGCTAAAGATAACTGCAATGAGAAATGGAAGGGTCCTAGTCGGTAATTACTGTGGATCCTTGGCAGGGAGAATCACTGCTAATTAAACCACTAGCTTCATTTCACACACAGGAAGAGCGAGAAAGAAATCAAGAGAAAAGGGGGAGTGACCCGCCCCCCGCCGCCCCTATTTCATCTCAATCTCCTGAGCTTCCCAGGGGGCCCTAACTCAGACCCCCCTCATAGCTTGTGGACTTCTGACCTCTCAACTCCCTTTCAGCTGACACTGCTCATTTAAGAGCCAATTACTGGCCAAATATGGCCACGCGATTATTGATAGCTGGGACTCTCCACTCGAGGACCACCAAAGCCAGAGGGCAGCTAGCCTGGTGGGTGCCTCGCTGTGAAGTTTGAGCGCGCGGTCCGCAAGAAGTACTCGTGTGTTTACTAAGTAAAAATCACATCGGAGCCACACGTCTCAAACGCATGTTGTGTCTTCAGCTTCGGGAGATCGATACTCTAGATTGTCAGGACCGCAGCTAAGTAGATTACAGAATGTTTTTCCGAAATCAATTTCCATAGCAGTTTGGCAGCAGTGCATGGGAAGTGCAATTTATCATAACATAAAGACCCATCATGCAAAAGCCTCTGATAAAAAAGCCTGAGGAGATTGGGACAGGCTTAGCGCAATTTCCATATTGATTTATCTCTACATGCAGATAGTCATTGATTAAGCCCCCTCGAACGTGGTGTACAACATTGTAGCTGTGTGACATTGCTCGTGCACATTGTTTGTGTCATTATCAGTGCAAATTGTTACACCTTTATCATTAAACTGGCACAATTCACTCCCGACTGATTCCTCCCTGCAGGTGCACATATTTCAAGAGTAAATGGGAGTGACAAGATAGAAGGGGGAGAGAATTAAAACGGAAAGTGCAGAGAGAGGCAAGTGTGCTGGAATAGAAAGAAAGTGAGAGAGAGCGAGAGCACAAGTGAGAGCGAGAGGAGGGGGGGGGGGAGACACTTCCTTCTGATGTTGCAGGTAATATGGCCTCCACTGGATCAGCCTCTTCATCAGTGACACACAGTAAATTACAAGTGCTTCAAGCAGCTCAGTGAATTATAGTTCATCACTTGGAAAGGCTTTCCCCCTCACCACCGGGAGCCCAGGCGTATCAGATCTGCCGGTTAGGATCCAATTAACACCCTGGCCGGAATCATCTGATTGCATGTGTAAGGGCTGGTATAACTCGTTTATTGCACCCATGTATCTTCTGTCACAAGGTAAATTTGTTGCTGCTACATCAAAGGTCTGAGCTACTTTTTTCTTTTTTTTTATCCTTCCCTCCCTCTCACTTTCTCTTGATCCCCCCCAAACTCAGCTACCTCGCCTTGGGGTTGCATTTCAACTTATTTTGCATCACAATGATGAACCTGCTCTGTGCTGGCAATTTAGCAATCTTGTCCTGTAGGTGTTGTAAATGCAGAGAGAGAAAAAAAAAAAGAGAGGTGGGGAGGGAGATGGGGAGTGAGAGAAAAAAAAATCTTGTTTTCTGGTTACAAAAGCAGTAACCAAGGGTGTTTGACTTAAAATGTGCTGACGTTTTTTTTGTCTCTTTCTCTCTCAGTCAACAGAAGTTTTCCTCATGAATAACATAATATTTCCCCCCTTTTTTTTTTTACCTTCGCAGTGATAATTTCTCCCTCTTTTTTTCAGATCCAACCAGAGGGAATGCAGCGGAAAGATATATTCATAAATGTAAATGTGAACCACAATCCTTTAGCCACGCACGCTGGAGTCAGCTCAACCTATACCCAAGCCTAGCGTCGCAGCCCTTTCCACCGCATCTGCGCGTGTGTTCCGGATGAAAGCCAATAAGCAGATGAGTTCTGCTATCGAGGTGATATTCGCTCAGCGGTAAGAACGCGTGGACCTGACCTTTAAAAGTGTGACACTTCCTCGGATGGCCCAGTGCCCACAGCCAATCTGACTGGCCTGGGCAGGAAGCTGCAGAATTACAGAAAACAGGGCTGAACCAACATCTCCCCCGATCCACACACAAACCGTAAAAACCTTAAGTATAACACATTTAAAGATTCATAGTTAGAGCAGAGCACAGATGGGGCTGATGTTATTAGTCTTGTAAAAAGGTATGCACAGCATGATTGTGTGAAAGGGGACAAGCAGCAGTCGCAGGTTTTGAACTGGATGTTAACTACGGGGAGGAGGGGTCGTGGGGTACCTTCACACTGTCAAAGGGGGCGGATCATTCTAGCTGTTTTAAATGTGCCCCATGACATATAGAGGTGGTGGGTGTGTCACAATGGGAGCCTCGGGGTGGACATGTTAGGAGCAGATGTGGTGAGATAGTCAGTTAAGTTTTGCACATTTGCAGTTTATTTTGTGGGATTTCTCATTAATCTTGAGCAATTCCTCCCAAACACGTTGCTAAGCTGCTTTAAATCCTGTCCTGAGCCACGGACAAACAAGTGTTGCACAAAGTCACTTCTGGCAATGTAGAAAACTTTAAGTTGCATTGTGCCCACGTTTGAGTGCAGGCTGTGTGTAGATGCATTATGTACGCTTGCGCGCGAGCGAAACAACTGTCAGATTCATAGGCCGCTGTAATCCTCTCCGCCTCTCCTCGTCCGCGTTTCTTTATTTGTATTCCAAATGTCAGTGTATAAATGCCTTTCAGAGGGGGGATATTGCCACAGAGAGGCGCAGAGACGATAGGGTGTTGTGTGCCTTGGGAGAGCCGTGTAAGCAGCATGGCGGAGGCAGGGGGATTTACAGGGAGAAATAGGTGTTTATTGAGTGCTCCCATGGGCTTACTGTGTAATAATAGACCTGTCACATTACGCAAATGTGAAGAAGCAGCTTGTGTGCGTGTTTGTATGTGTGTTTGTGGGGCTGTTTTATACATGTGTGTGTGTGCATGTGAATGCCAGAGCTGCCTGCCTCCGCATCATCAACTCCTGAGGAGCAGCGATGAGCGAGCGGATAGAATTAGTCAGGCGAGAGCCTTTAGCTGCTAATACGCGTAATTAAAACTGCAAGCTGAGGCACTTAGATGCTTGTGTACTAAATAATTTACATGCCATGATCTATGGATCATTTCCCGCTCTTAAATACCAAAGATGGGAGAACAAGAAGAAAAAAAAAAGACTGGCAGAGGATTTATCAGTATCTCTACCATAAGCAGGATGTCATGGTAATATTAATCCCTTTCCCACTTTCTACTTTGCTAATCATACACGGGGATCAATCCGCCTGATTCCTCTGGTGGAAAACATGCAGCTTGATTGCTATTCACTCTTGCCGAGCTGTGACGCTAATAAAATATTGCACTATAGCACCCATTGTGGCCTCATAATCCAGGTAAATAATGCAGCTTTATTGTGTAAACTCCCTCAAGACAACTGGTTAGTGACAGGAGGGAAGAAATAGAACAATAAGAATAGCAAAACAAGGCTTTTTAATCAAGTCGGAGTTTCTTCTGCTTCGCACTGATATTTGCACAATGGAGTATTAAGGCTAAAATGTCATTTGAAATAAGTGGATTCAAGGGCACACAGCAGCATATTCCCACTGTAAAAATGATCTTGGGCCAGAATGCACTGAGTCCTGTTTGCCAGTGTGTATCACTGGGGGGAGTCAGCAGTCCCTCTCCCTTTGGACCCTCTGCTTGGAGACTTTTTTGGAACAAAGAGGTGAGGATGTTAATAAAGGCTGGATCAACAGATGGATTAGCTGGGAACTGAGGACAGGGCCGATCGGCAGGGCCCTTCTGATTCATATTGATTCATATCGCCAACGCGAGGCAAGGGTGGAGTAAGCAAATGTAAATATTCAATATTTACCATCTGCTGGTGTTATTAGATGCAGGGGCTTGGACATGGGCTGACGGTTATCATGCACCCAACCAATATTGTTCCTCCTGCCATGTATGTATTGCACTTGGTGACTATGCAGGCATTTGCAGATCAGGATCCCATTTGTTTGAATCAATTCGCTCTGGCATACAGAACCTCAAATAGAAGAAGTGCAATGGACCCCAGCAATAAGCTACAGAGAGCTTTTCTTCAATTAGGAATTCCTTACCCCCCCACAGATAACTAGACAGAAAATATACAGACAAATAAATAAACACCCTTTTAAAAAGCATGTTTATAATTCTGATGCCACTATGTGTGAATATACCGGTAATATTAACACTCTCGATGGGGTTGAGTTGAATTATTTAAATGCGAACGCATATCCGAGTCTTCGCCAACCCTTATCTCTTCGCCAGTACGTAATTAGGTACACAGGGGTGTGACTCCAATTGAAGGTGTCGCCATTGTTAGACTCTGTGAAAATATCAACTGGGTGAGGTTAACGCCAATTTCCCTGACATTAATGAAATGCACAGAGCCCCTAATGAGTTAAACCATTGCTCCTTGATAGCACTTATTAAGCCGAGTGGAGGGCACAAAGTCCCACACTTCAATTTCAAACGGCTAAAAATAAATGAAATTAAAAAAAAGATACTAATAATAAAAACACAGAGCAGATGTCAAGGGGCCTTACATAAGGACGGGGAAAGCAACCAACTGTCTTGTTGACTTAAACGAGCAGAATGAAAAGACTCGCTAGTGTGAGAAATATCTTAACGCCAGAAGGAAAGAGGATGTGTTAATGTGTGTATATGTGTGTGTGACCGTGGTGTCGGTGTGCAACTGTTCTTGTGTGAGTGTCTGTGTCCATATGTGTACAAGTGTGACCTTTTCCCAAATCACTGACAACAGACATAGACAGCTCTATGAATCAATAAGGAAAATTAGTTGTGAAGAGTGGAAATGGCAGGCAGTTAAAATTAGCGGTCTGTGTAACCCACTAGTTAGGCTGACATGTCTTTTGAATAATAACTAACCTCTGGATCACCCACTGTCAACAATTCTATGGATCTGTTGTAGAACAGCATGCAGATCAAATTATTTGTCATCCTACCGTTCAACCTTTTGGATTTACTTCACGGATTGATGATTGTTCAGTTTGATGGAGACAAATAAAATGTATACTTGAAACTTTTCTCTCTGAGATCCGTCCGTGTTGTGTTTTTTCTTGTGTTTGTGCGACGCTTAGCCTCCTGGGGACTGGCTCGTCCCGGCTTTAGGATTCAAATGGCAGGTCCGAGGATTGCGTTGGCAAATCAAACACACTTGTGGAACAGAGGAAATCTTCTTTTTCGGAGGAGCATGTATTATGGATGGACTTAAGAGATTAGACGGGGAGCTGCTGTACCTGCAGTGGACGCTGCTTGTCCTGGCTCTTTGGAGATTTCAGGCCACTGCCTGGTTGCTGCAAGAGTAATTGCCTCGCTGCTTGTAGGGCCTGGGAAGAAAGAAACACAAGACAAAACACAGTGTGAGAAAAAAAAAAAGGAGAAAGAAAGATGGGGAGGAGGGAGGAAAAGACTGAATAAACTATTACATTTCCTGAAGCTGACAGCAGAGATAATTCACATTTTTCAGAGACAAAACAGTCATCTCTGAGTGAAAACCCTGTCAAATATCAGCTGGTATTTTCCGCAACACATTCCGACGCGGTTAACACTGCGTCGGAGATGTGTTTTAGTCACAATTCGCCGAGCTGTGATCAAGGATAAATACAGTTTGTCTCGAGCACCCCTGAAGAAGAGGGTGGAGAGGGTGGTGGTGGGCTGAACAAAAAAAAAAAGAAAAGAAAAGAAAGACAGAGCGTCGGTAGAATTGACCTGTCTAGTGTGTGCTCAACTGAAATACCCACTTCTCTCGGCAAATTACCACCACATTTGCATATTCATAATATCAATTTGAAGTAGAGGCAGCGCCATGTGAAGTGTCCCTGGGAGCTGTAATTAAAGTTGACAAAATCAACATCAGATTTTCGAGTGAATTAACTAGCAGGCCCAGGTTTCACACTATGCATTAAGGATGCTCATGAGCAGGGGATGGGTGATAGATAGATAGAAACATGGATAGGTACATAGAGAAAGAGAGACCTTTCGCTGTCTGATGGAATTAGTTCTCAGCTGTTTACACACGGAAAAGAAAAAAAGAAAATTGTAAATTGTAAAATTTGTCATCAACGCCGTTTGATGTGTTTGCCAGACATGCAGATGCTGAGAATCAGAGAGGTTTGGGATGTGGTGTAATTCATTTCTCTAGGGTTTGATGGGATTTAAGATCCCCTCCCGCCCCGGTTTGTGTGCACTGAACGTGCGCAAGGAGCGAGCTCCAGCTTCACAGGTAACGGCGGCAGCTGGGCTAGCAGCTTCACTCCGATTCTTCAAGAGCAGATGGATGAAAGAATCTGGCAGAAAGGAACATTGTGCACAGCTGCTACTGCTGCTCCACACAGCCGTGTATACCTTGTATTCTTCAGGCCCACGAGCATCAAGTGGGAGAGGAAAAACACATATGCACACACAACACAACACAACAACTTCACAGGTGTTTCCTTTTTTTTTTTGATGAAAAAAGAAGGGGACGAGTGAGGGGATGCAAGAAATAAGAAGAAAATAAAACTCAGATGGAGAGTGACACTTCCTCAGGAATCAGGGGTTCTCATTTTTATTTTCTGGTGCTTGCCAGTATCCATGACAACAGCTGCCTTGACAGGGCGTGCATATGGCGCAGCTCTGCCAGCTGGTGGGAACAATGTTTGAACTAGTACATTGAGATCCTGAGCAAACAAGAGGAGAAGACGGGGGAGAGAGAGAGAGAGAGAGAGAGAGAGAGAGGGAGAGGCAGTAAAAAAAAAGAAAAAATGAGGAGGAGGAAAAAAAAAAGTTGCCACGTCTTAACCCCTCAGGGAACACAGCCACCTCCTGATCAATTATGAAAAGACAGAGCTGGGGGGGTGCTTGACGAGGTGGTGGTGGGGGGTGCTGTCTGTCTGGGTGCTCAGGAGGAGCCAGGCTTTCTGAACTAAAGTAAACAAACACATTACACTGGCACTGGGTCCTAACTGCATTGATCTGTCTCCTTGGTAAGAGGATCCTAGTCGCCACCGGTTTATATACGTGTGTGTGTGTGTGTAATGTGACATCTGTAAGCTGAGCCATGGATTTTTTTCAGAACACACACACACACACACACACAGATACATGAGGTTGCCTGTGGTGGCACACATTAAAAGTACCTACACATCAACACCTGCAGTAGACAGGCACACGCAAGCCGCGCGGGGCTTCGTTGCGCGTGGACCTTTTCAAAACGGACGGGAAATCAAACACTGCTCGACTCTGGCTTCCTCTCACCGACGCCGAAAGACAAAACAAAATTCCTTGAATGCAGCCAATCGCTTTGCTAATTAAAACACGGGGCCTAATTAATCGCACTATGATTGGTGAATCAAAGCAATTATAAGGTTTACTGAGTCCTGCGCACAGCAGTTGGAGGGAAGGCTGCTCCATGAGCGCAAACCAAGGTAGCTGTCAGGAGGAAGTGCTTATTCGTGTGTGAATCAATAACGACTCGCTATGTTATATCCAAAGTCAACAGAGCCCTGCGCTATATTACACAGGGTCAAGAGTATAAAGAAAGAGATGTTTTTAACTGCGCTTCCAATATCCATGCCAGGTAAATATCGAGGGAGGTGCGGGTATGAGAGGTGACACACAGGGGTGAAGCACAGAGATCAACGACACGCGGCTTATTAGAAAAGAAGTCTGCTCAGACTGCATATAGAGTACTTCTCCAAACATAACACAGACCGTATCAACACCGGCCTAACTTCCCCAGAGTGGCTCGTCGCGCCTGAAACTACCTGTCACTTCCTCTGTGGAAGTGGGGTTAGCCATTTTTCTGAGAGTCAGTGACGGCGTGGAAGGTGAGGGAGAAAAAAATAAAAATAAATAAAAAGTCCTGTCCGCTCACTTACACTGGTTCCGAGTATTCAGCCATTACAGTAAAAAGCACCAATTTGTGCCACCCACTTTCCACTCCACAGAGATGGCAAGCCAGAGAGCTCATCTCCAAGCACACGAAAAAAGCACAACATGCCAAGGAAAGTCATCAAAAGTTTGCTGAAGAGCTGCCGGAGCGGACACAAAAACACAGACGAGTGCAGGCGCACCGGCCTATTTAACCTGGGTTGCTATGCAAAGAAGAAATGACATTCCCGGTCTATTAATGCACACATTGTATAAACAGCACAATGTGACACATTCTTCAGAATGAGAGAGCAAGCCAGGCAGAGACAGAGACAGAGAGAGAGAGAGAGACAGAGAGAGACAGAGAGAGACAGAGAGAGAGCGAGAGAGAGAGAGAGACAGAGAGACAGAGAGAGAGAGAGAGACAGGCCCCGCTATATAAATAACAAGGCACTCAGAGGCATATTTGATGTTGATATCCATCACTGAGGTTGGAAAAGAGGGAAGAAAATAAGAGGGAAAATAACACAGAGCGACCAGGGACACGGGGATCCTTATGAAAATAAGATTCAGCCCAAATGGATCCGGTGTAATTGGTTTCAGATAGTGAGGTCAGGAGAAAGGCGATACAGGCAACTATTATGCGAAACGGACTGAGAAACAAGAATGTTTACACAGGCATTCCTCTGCCACGTTAATAGGCATACAGAGATCACTGGAGAGGGAGAAAAGGAGAGAGTGAGAGGAGACTGACAGGGAGGGGAAGAGGGAAAAAAAAACAAAAAACATATCAGCCATCCATTCATCGCCCCCCTTCCCACTATCCTCCAGTGTCCCAGCCCCAGTGTTTAGACTGTACAGAGCAGGGTAATAAGGAGCACCAATCACAATGCACCTTTGTAAGGAGCATGCAAAGATCTTAAACAAGCATGAAATACATTAACAGGTCCTGCAGTACTGGGCCCGGACCATTACAAATCTCCAGATTGCTTATTTGCACACATGGTGGATGGGGGGAGGGTGCGTGCAAGAAATAAGCCATCCGTCCAAGAATGTCACTCTTTCAAATCCACCTGGAGCATGCACGAGATGCAGCCATGACATTGGAATTGGATATATCTGAGGGGCTGTGACATTGTGTTTGGACAGTGCGGATCACTTTCCTGGCGTAGGTCACATTGGGAGCTGTTGTTATTAGGGGGGTATAGCCCATATTGGAACGATGACACCGGGTATGAAATAAGCTGCCCTCAACAGGTACGTCTTCACAACACTGTGGCCTCTACAGGACCCGGCCATGTTCCAGAAAGTAGCAGTAAACATGGCGCATCAATTGTTGATCAAGAAGAAATGGCTTGTGTCGGGGTAACGCAGTCTTACTGCGGTGTGCAGAACAGATGTCGTGTTCGGTGTGTATGTGTTTGTTGTGGGGAGTAAAGGGCTGCTGTTCAACAGTAGGCTGTAGGCCAGAACAACTCCAGTCATGCTGACAGCTTTGACAACTCCCACACACTCACACACACACACACACACACACACACACAACACGCATCACCAGGCTTATCTATCTTCGCTTCCAGGAAACACAGACGGCGAAAGAGGGGGAAGGAAAAAGTGTGACACTTTATTCAGGCTGGAGGGAGTCGCACGCCACGGAAAACAAGGCACAAACAGTTTAAGCTGAACAAACAAACATGGCTGATTGGACCGAGGCTGCCGGCCCGCTGGCGGGGGAGATATGCGCTGACACTCCACACCAAAATATTTACATGCTATCTTCTTATATAAGTGGATTCAGGGCAGATGGATGGATGGATACGGATTTGGAGGGGCTGGTTGGAGAGGATAGACAAATGAGAAGAGAAGGGGGGGGGGGAGGATAAGATGTCCCATACAATGTCTGAATATAAAAGTGGGGTGCTGAGTTTGTGAACAGAACAGCAGCGGCCCCTCAACTGGTTTCACGCAAGAATAGTAGAATGGACACAGCTGGATGGCGCTGAGATTACAAAGACAATACGTCTATTAGAGCTAAAACCTGAGATTAGTGATTGGGTAATGACTTTTAGCGATGATCTTTAAACACTCAAATTAACACTCACTAAAGCAATGCAGTCACAACCGTTTTCAGGCTCTATGGTTGCTATTGATCTCCTTCACCTTAAGAAACTCGGCCACAGGAGAAGAGAGACTCCTATCCTTTTGTGAAAAGGTCAGAACTGGCGATGACGCACCGGTGCCTCAACAATGGCTCCAGACTCCCCTATCTCCTCCACAAACCCACACAGAGCACAATGCACACACCTGGTTTCAGTCACCTCTGCTTGGTTGAGTACATGGAAAGGAAATGATAAAAACATGACTGAGATTATGTGAAGCTAATGTGAAAGTGCCTTCCAAAAGAAGATTTCTGCTTAAGAAAGGGTACATTGTATTTACTTGACTGATAAGTATATGAAAAGAAATCTAAATCAGC